CCCCCGACACAGACACACACACATTTCATGGTTTTTTAAATTTGTTTCCTTGATGATTCGTAATTTGGAAACTTTTTATATTTTCCAACTCTTCCTTTTTGTGTTTTTCCCACCTTTTCCTTGACCTTTGAAAGCAAAATTATTGATAATTTCAGTTGTGATTTTTGTTTTAAGTAAATTTGGCTGTTGAATGTTACACTAAAGCCACTAATGTCATTCTGGCTTGGAAAAAAATTTCATTTTTGCAAGAAAAGAATTTAGTCAATAGCTCTAACATTGAAATAGTTGGGAACTTCATTGATAGTTTAGTCCTTAGACTGTTGCCCCTGTTCCCGCTACTTAAAAAACAAAGGAAAATGGAAGAAAGGGGTTAAAAGATCTGGATTTTTTAGTGTCAAGATTTCAAGTCTATACTTAGATATGAGGTTTTAAAAGAGGAATTCAGCCTGGGCACCGTGGATCAGGGGTTGAGCATCAACCTATGATCCAGGAGATCGAGGTTCGATTCCCAGTCAGGGCACATACCCGGGTTGTGGGCTTGTTCCCCAGTAGGGGGCGTGCAAGAGGCAGCCGATCAATCACTGACTCATCATTGATGTATCTCTCTCTCTCCCTCTCTGAAATCAATAGACATATATATTTTTTAAGTAAATAATAAGTGAAGAGGGACTCACGTTCACAGATGAAAGAGGTTAGGAAATTCAGGTGCAGGGACACACATATCAATAGCAATATCTATAATTTTATAATTCCTTTAATTCAGATCTTGGCTGAGTGTTTACAGTGTTCAAGGTACCATGCTAGGTGTGGGGAGAGAGATGAAATCTATAACACAGTCTTTGCCTAGCAGAAACTTAAACTTTTGATTGGAACGAAGTGATTTTAAAATGTTCTGATAAAGTAAAAACAGTGGGCAAGTCCAATTTAAAGTTAATATACTTTATCTCCACAGACAGTTGCTGTTTTTGCACCAAGATGTTCTTGTGTCACCTGTGCCTGGAATATTTAGCCAAATTTGGGTGGTGATGGCGGTTAGTGTTTTAACATTTTATAAGTTATTATTACTAATTATTTGGGGGAACATTGATAAACAGTAATTCAGGTACTCATTATAGCTCAAGTTGAAAATGGTTTATGAAGACAAATTATACTGTTTTGTAGCTTGAACCATTAACAGATTTTAACTTTGATATACCTGATGTTTAAAATTCATTTTTGTGTTTCTAATTTCATGGTCAGTGTTCTGTGTCATAAACGTTAAGATAAAGACTGCAAATGAGGAAATATGTTATAACAGAATTTTTAAAGATATGTTGTTTCTCATATTTTATTCTTTAGAATTACACTTAACATAAAGGAGTAATTTTCTCACCCCAACACATCTCCAATTGTTTTTAAAGAATTTAGATCAACTTTTTTTTTAATTTGGAAATTTTAAAAAAATTCATATTTAGTAAAATTAGAGCAAGAAACATATTTCTTGGTGCTGTGTGTATAACTGGGAATGATAAGGAAGGGCCAGAAATCTTCATAAAAATCATACTCTCCTGAGATTTTTGTCAAAAGTCTTTCTGAGAATCATCTTACTCTGAGATTTTAATTCCCCAGAATCCAGTGAAATCAACTTATTAACAGTGCTGATAAGCTACACAAAATCTTCAGTCCTTTTATCTTCGAGGTTATATGGCTGTATGTCCAACTTTTTCTTCTCATCCGTAATACAGTTTTTAAAAAAGACAAGCTGTTGGTGAACAGTAGACACTAATGCCTCTTAATTGTGTGTTTTTCTACCTGAAAAATTTATGGAACAAGAAGGAGATTGTTTTTATAGTTGTAGTGAGTTCAAGTATCCTAATCTTAAAATAACCATCTAAAAATGTGTTTTGTGTTTTGTTTTGCTTTCTTAAAATATGTGCTCTAAAAATATTTACTGAAGTACTTAAAATGGGATTGTTAGGCATACGATTTTGAAACTTGCCTTTCATTTTCCCTTTAACGGCCTCTCCTGGATTATTATTCTGTGTCAATACATGTATCTTTCTTGGTTTTAAGACTGAAGTATTTCATTGTATGAGTATAAAATAATTATCACTGTCTAATGCACACCTTAGTTTCTAGTTTTATGCTGTTGCAAACAGTACTTCAGAAAGCATTGAAATTACATCATTTTCATTTGGTAATTTTTATGGGTTAAATTCTTGGAAGTGGGATTTCAGCACATTTTAGCTATAATCTAGATACTGGGAAATTGCTATCTGAAAGTCTCTACTAGATTATATTTTAAAGAATTGTGTATGAGCCTGGCCGGGCGTGGCTCAGCGGTTGAGTGTTGACCTGGGATCTAGGCAATCGGGGTTCAATTCCCAGTCAGGGCACATGCCCGGGTTGCGGGCTCGATCAATGACTCTCTCATCATTGATGTTTCTGTCTCTCTCTCTCCCTCTCCTTTCCTCTCTCTGAAAGCAATAAAGATATAAAATTAAAAAAATTTATTAAAAAATTGTGTATGAGAAAACCTATATTTCCACATCCTCACAAATACTTGATATTCACAACCTTCACACATCTGCCAATCTTTTAGGTTACAAAGAACATTTTCTCTAACTTATATTTCTTTCATTGGTGAATTGAAGCACCTTGGCCTTTTGAACTTTTTCTTGATCTTCCACTTGTGTCCATTTTCCTTCTTAAGGTCTAAGAACTTCCTGTATATTACGAAAGGTGTTAAATATTTATTATATGAAATTTTATTGGCCTCTTTCTTCATATGGTTTCTGGGTTCATGTCACCCCCACAAAGGCTTTTCTCATTTTGAGAGTGTACCGACAGATTCTATTTCAGGGAGGGATTGGTCATCACTTGTGTCTCCCAGGTCAGAAGCTGTCAGGATTATGGTCTGATTCTGTGCTGTCTACTGTATAATGTTTAAAGTCTTGTATGGTTTCATTTAATAACATATTTACGTCATTTTTATAAATGTGGATTTTTGTTATAGATACCATTTTATAAAGCTGGAAAACTTAATGCTTATCTTGAAAAACATGGAGCTAAGGTAAGTTTTGAAAAGATAATTCCAGATGCTGTTTATACTTATTTTGTATTCAGCTTCTTTTTATGGCCAACAAAAATTAGAGTATCTGTCATATAAGTTAATGCTATGCATGTGAAAGAGTCGAACAATTTTTTCTCAATTACTTTGTGCATTTAGTAGAGACACAGGAGAAGAGGCTTAATTTTTCTTGCAGGCATTTTACATGGTATAGTCTTATCTACCACATATAGCTTCTAAGAAGTGAATATTCCCATTTTACAGGTGAAGAAAAGGAAACCCAGAGAGACAAAAATATTGTTCATAACAATATAGCTAATAAGCAGAGGCACAAAAGAGTATAAATTGTATTCTATGTGGCGAATTTCTGGACCTTAGCAAGGAAAATATGAATGCATAGGATGAGCACCTCTTGTGTCTCAGTTACTCAGGCCATGGAGACTTGGCTGGAGCTCACTTCAGGTCTCTGCATGTTTCTCTGAGGCACTGTGTCCTGTTATTCCAGCAGGCTGATTGACTGGGGTTCGGGATAATGAGGTTTCTGGTCGATTCCAAGACGAGATAGTTTATTTAGGTCCTAGGAGGGTGATTTAGTCTCAGTAATTCCCAGGGGTGCTTTTGCAGCTCCCTGAGAAACCTAAAGAACCTGAAAGCTGGTTTCAGCTGTCAGCCACAATCTGTGGGAAAGGGGTATTGAATCTTTTTGCTAAGACAGGTCTGAACTATGAGGACCAGATTTACAGTGTGTCATTTACCTAGCTCTAGAAACTGGGTCTTTTGGGAATCCCTACAGAACTCTGTTCTTTATTGTGGAAAGTGTCTCATGATTTAGTAGGGACCCCTTTGCCATCCTGTTGGCCCGCTCTTGGAGAATTTCATCTTTTTATTAATATATTGACTTAAAGTTAAAAATTGTGGGGGTTTTTTGACAAATGTGTTCCAAGAAGATACAATAAAATTTTAGAAACAAACTCTAAAGATCAAAACAGTTATTTTTTTGAGCACAAGAGTATATGGCATTTCAGTATTGGGTTAGTAAAAAAATATTTATACCAAGTACCATCATTTTATATGTATCTTAAGATTATATGAAAAATTTGGAAACACATCTCCCATAGTCCTTATACACTAATAAAAATACGCTTTGTGATCTATTTTTTTCGAGTCTTTTAATTCACATCTTTGACTTGATCACTGCAAGTTGTCCAATGCCCAAAATATTTAAAATCTTTTTGTTTATACTCTTACCCTTTTCCATGTATCCCAGTTCCTCATTGCTCCTGAGTAAACTGCTTAGCCCCCTTCACCAGACTTCCAGGTCCCAGATGCCTTGATGTTCATGAACTTTCTCCAGCCTGACTTCCTACCCTCTTGAGCCTTCGTGATTTTGCTCAATTTCTCTCTCTCTTTTTTTTTTAATATATCTTTATTGATTTCAGAGAGAGGAAGGAAGTGGGAAAGAGAGAGAGAGAAATATCAATGATGAGAGAGTTATTGATCAGCTACATCCCTCAAACCGGGCATGTGCCCTGACCCGGAACCGAACCCCGATCTCCTGGATCCTAGGTCGATGCTCAACTGCTGAGCCATGCCCGGCTGGGCCCTCAATTTTTCTCTTTATGGATATTTTTTGCATAATAGTAATTACAGTCAGCAGATATTTATGGAACATCTGTTATATGCTAAGCACTCTACCTGTTTCTGGAATTAAAGTTATGAACCAGATAAAGTCCCTGTCCCCAGAAATCTTAAAGTAGAAAAAAATTTCCTCCTCAAGTTTTTGGAGCTTGTGTAGAATTTTTAGTATCCTATAAATGTTTGATAAAATTCACCAATAAAGTTATTTGGGCGTAGAGTTTTCCTTAAGCAAAAGTTTTAAACTACAGCTTCAATTCCTTTAATAGATAATAGAGCTATTCAAGTTATCTATTCAAGGAATATGTCCATTTCATCTGAGTTGTCAAATTATAATACTTGCTCGCTTTCCTTCCTGTGGAGTTTGTCGTGATGCTGCCTCCTCTCATTCCAGATGTTGGGTAATGTGTGTTCTTCCTGACCAGTCTTGCTGGAGGCTTAACAATCTTACTGATCTGAAAAGACAGCTTTTGGTTTCATTGATTTTTCTCTGTTGTTTTACTGTTTTGTATTTCATTGATTTTCATTTTTGTCTTTATCATTTTCTTTCTTATGCTTATTTTGGGTTTGGTTTATTATTATTTTTAAAATGTCGTTATTGATTTCAGAGAAAGGAAGGGAAAGGGGGAGAGAGATGATGAGAGAGTCACTGATCAGCTGCCTCCTGCACACCTGCTACTGAGGATCAAACCTATGACCTCCTGGATCCTAGGTCAATGCTCAGTGGCTGAGCCATGCCGCCCAGGCATGTTTTGTTTTTATTTTCCTCAAGTCAAAATATTTCCTAATTCCTGTTATTTCTTCTTTGATCTAAAGGTTGGTTAGAAGTTTATGTAGTTTCCACATATTTGGGGATTTTCCAGGGATCTTTCTGTTTCTGCTTCCTAATTTAGTTGTGGCTAGAGAACAAGTTTTGTATAATTTGAATTTTTTAGAATTTATTGAGACTTGTTTTACTATCTTAGTAAATGAATCCTGACCCCTTGAGGAGAATGTGTACTCTGCTGTTATGTCAAGCAGTCTATAAATGGTAATTGGGTCACGTTAGTTGATAGTGTTAGGTACTATATTCTCGCTTGTTTTCTGTCTACCTGTTCTATCAGTTACTGAGAAATTGCCCCTGACTGTAGCTGAAGTGATCAGTAATACCATCTTTGCCCTTGAAGGCGTCCAGATCACCAGTCATCATGTTTGTGAATGATCGGATTGGCCCAGACTTCCTCCTTGCTTGCCAAGACTGAGTGAGCTGATCTGTCTACTGTATCTGGGTTAATACCTCAGGCCAAGGGGAAGGCAACACAGAAGCAGGGAGGAAGCCATTTGGCTTTGTAAGGTAGATCCTGGTAGTTACGGGATTTGTTTTGCTTGGGTCCTGGACCCTGGGGGCATGTGTGAAGTCAACATTGCAGGTTGGCCTCATGCCACTGCTTGGAGTCCTGTTGATAGTAGCCTTGATTAAATTCTCTATGAGACAAATTGAACAGATTTGGTCTTGTCCCCCATCAACAGATTAATTACTTGCATCCTGGGAAAATTCACCAGAAGCCAAAATGGTATGAAAACGATGGTGGGTGATATTGGGAGACAGTTCTCCTTGGTGCTATCACTTTTTTGTATGTCTTGCTAGTAGAGGCAGTGGCAGCATTTTCTTCTGAACTTTGCATCCATGTTTGTAGAGCAAACAGCCTTGGTTTTGTCTCCAGCCGTGGATAGCTTGTGCTGATCCATACTCAGTTGAATACTCATGAGGGACACTGCTGGTCTCAGAGTCTACTCTCTGTGCAGCAATCTCAGCTCCAACTCTTTGACCCCAAAACTCTACCTCCCTTGTCTCCCTGGACACTCAACTCTGTCTCCACAACCCCAAAGAGTCCCCTGGATCCTGCGAGACTCCCCTTCCCACACAGCAGCCTGGAACCCTCTTCAGTCAGTATGTTGGAGTGACCATAGGTTCCCATCTCTTAGGACTGCTTTCCTTTGCTACTTTGATGTCCAGTGTCCTTGAACCATTGTTTTATAGAACTTTCCCAGTGTTTTAGTTTTGCCTTAAGTGGTAGGATCAGTCTGCATCCTATTACTCTCCTTGGTCAGAAGTTCTCATTTTAAAAAGTCCTCTACAAGTAGAGATTCTTTGCTGGTACCCATGTGAGTATTTCATCATTCTCTGGTGTTGAACTAGTGTGAAAAACTGTGAAAAATACTACAACATCACTCTGGCCTGGTTCCTTCCATGTAGAGCAGAACACAAAGTAAAGTGGAAGGTTGTGGCTCAGGAGCCCTGAAAACTCAGGTTTCTTGGGCCAGGGCAAGCACGGCTGTTAGAGCACGGCATGGTCGTGGTTTCAGAGTGGAAGTAGTTTAACACTCTGTAACCTTAGAACCAGACAGGATTATAACTACAGCAGTGCCTAGAACTAACATCCAGAACAGCCCATTCTGCTGGGTGGTGATCTAAAGACAGACATGTTCTGTGAGCTTATAGGGACATACTGATTGGTGTAATTTGCTCAAATTTTGTCCTTTGATCTTTTTAGGTGGAGGCACCACAAAGAGTAATGCCTGTAATTCTTCAAAACTGTCTTTCATATTCACTCACAGCTAGACTTGCCCCAGCCTGGAATAAAGTGGGCCATCTCCTAGTGCAAGGTGACTACGCCTTTCAGTCACTGGCTTTCTGAACTACATCACTTCTACTATGTGCATCTGTTTTTAGTTTCAGGATATTATTAGGGAGTAGTTTTAAAAGCATAACCCCAACCAGAGCATTCTTAAGCAAGCCCATAACAACATAATTGTCATCTCCTTACTTTGGGATTATATCCAAGGGCCTGCTGATGTTTCTTTAAAGAAAACATGTTTATTATGTAATACTTGATGTTTAGAATATTCCTTTTTATAAAACTGTATTTTAAAGCATTTTCCTTAGCTTGCTAATTTCACTTGAAAGGGTTATATTTATCAAACGTGTTTCATAGGTTATAATATGGCATATCCTATCAATTTTTTAAGGAAGAGAATTTCTTTCTCAGATGGGAAAGCAAAATGCTGTTGGTAAGTAAAAATGGGTAAGTCAATAGATAAAACATTAATCAACAGTTGTTAAGCAGTGTTGATTGAGTTGTTGAGTTGGTACAATCTTGGTGATTAGATATCGGAATTTAATCAGATGTTGTAATTACAATTTCACCCAGGGAAATAACTGTGGTTCAAAATATATAGCCTACTTTATTGAGAAAAATTCACTTTTCTCAATTGGAATAAAAGCTGTTTTTTATTTCTCTACTTAAAGAAAATTATGACTATGAAGCAGTTTAATTCTTACAGGAATTTATAATACGTAGTTTCCAGAATTATCAAAAATTCTTCAGTATTGTTGAAAGTAAAAGCTTTGCATCTTATAAGAACATGATTCTTTTTCTCCTTAAAAAAGAAAGGTCTGAAGAGACACAGATGAGCTAAGATAACAGTTTACGGTCTAATAAACTTTTTCAGTGACATGCATGGCTGACTTGCAGGTGGGCAAGTTTCTAAACAGTAGTCCAGAGATAGCAGATAGGTGGAAATCCTGAGCCCAGGAAGACATTAGTAATCAATCACGGTAGCTTTCACCGTTGGGGCATAGCCTTAGATCCTGGGCTAGCAGCTATAATCCACAGCTCTTCCGTTTCAGTTGCCCTTGCACTCGTTTTATGTTTAAGTTGAACAGTGGTAGTCATTATGCTCTAGCTGTGGACGAATGGGTTCATTCCTAAATTTAGTTTCATCCCCAAACACTGTCAGGAGACTACAGCTGTCGGAGATTAAAGTTTAGGAGAGCAACATTCTCTGTGTGTTAGAGGTTTTTTGTTTAGTTTACCGAATGTAATATTCTACAGCAAAACTGATGAATTGGTAGAGTATAGCTCATTGGATTTTCACAAACTAAACTTACCCTTATAACCAGTTCTCAGATCAAGAAACAGAAAATTACCAGCACCCCACAAGCCCACTCCTGCTTTCTTGGAGGTATTAACCCTTCCCAAGATAACCAGTATCTGGCTTGTAAAGTACTTTTAATTATGAGAAAGCAAGGTAGAAGCCTTGAGGCTCTATAAGACCCAGAGTGTATCTGCCAGAATATTTGAGGGCATTCATTAGTGAAACACTACTAAAGTCAGAATCATGGCATGGTACCTCCTGATTTAAGAAGACAGTCTCTATTTTTTACATATAATAGATGTCAGACTTGTAAAAGGTACTTACCGCTTTTCCCTCAACTGTGGGATATCTCATTTTTCTTATTGCAACCCTGCCCTGTGACATCCCCCAACGTATACATACCCACATCGACGTTGCTTCAGCCTTTGTCACCTTGTAAATGTCTCATCTACAGCTTTCAAATGTAATATGGTAATTGACTTTTACTATGTGTGAAAAAAACATCTATTCTTAACTGAGTTTCTAACTTGAATAAATTAAGTTAAAGTAATTTCTTTTGTTACTGAAATACTTAATTTGATAGGCTGGAGTAATAATTCCAGAAAGTTTACGGTTAAATATTTTATTTTCAGTGTTAGACATCAATGTAACAGAAACTCAAGTCTGTCTAAGTATAGAAGCCTATACAATTAGACTGCCACCACCGGAGGTACCACATATTTGATTTCTATAACTGCCTTTATTTGTTATATACTTAATGTATTTATTATTATTACTAACATGCTAGTAGGTTTTAATTTTTAAGAAAAGTGGTAAGATTTTTTATTTTCAAAATCCGTATTAAATTCTTGATCTCTTGCTATTGTTCTAAATCTGTTTACCCAAAGAAAATATTGTCAGTTCTACACTGATCCAGTCATATTATTCCCTTGCTCAAAAATCTTTTTATGAAAGATTGAACAAGAGGATGTGCTTCACATACAAAAGAAAACTCAGAAAGCTCACCTAAGGCGGAGAAAAAAATCTTTTTAGTGATATTCAGGACTCCTCACAACCCTGTCCTGCCTCAGTGCCTGCCCACTTTTTGCCGCCTCTTACACCTCCCAACATTGAAAGCACTGTTCCAGCCCATAGCAAATGTAATATCTCCCCACTGGCATACTGGTGGGGTTTTTTTTGTTTGTTTTTTTTGGCCCCTACGTTTTACACTTAACATTTTTTGCCTTCTTAGGAAGGAAGGATATGTTTTGTTTTTCTGTTCTAGTAGCACCCAGCATAGAACCTGACACACCAACGCTATCTCAGTAGGTATGATTTACTCTTTTCTGTTCCAGTGCTTCTCCCAGAGGCTGATGGGGGAGTGAGTGCTTTTGTTCCCCATCAGACATTTTGTAACATCTTGAGAGAAGGTTGGGTATCACAGAGGGGGAGAGGTGTGTTGCTACTGTCATTTAGTGGATAGAAGCCAGAGATGCTGCTGAATATCCTACAGTGCACAGGACACAACCCCCCGTCACCCCAAGAAAGAGTTATTCAGCCCAGTGTCAGTAGTGTCCAGGCCAAGAAACCCCAGGCATGGAAGAGATGGTTCTCCCTTGGCTTCAAGAACCGCGATTGGCTACACATGCCCATCCTTGAAGAGCCAGCTCAAATGCTACTGCAGTCACTTTCCTCTAACTTTCTGATTACAAAGACAGAGGAATGGGATCTGCTCTCCCCTGGAGCTTTACGTGAGCTGGTAGGGAAGCTGACCTGCACATGAATAACTGGCATGGGCTGTTAGTATCTCATACCGATGAGGAACCTTTAGGGCACCAGACCCAGTGTGAGCTCTACCCTCTTAAACCTCCACACCATTCTGCACCATGCTCACATACTTATTTGTATTTGTAGAGTTATACTCCTCATTTATATATCCCGTAACTTTATAATAAGCTTCTTGAGAACTAATTATTGTACCTTACTGCACGTTGACTTCTTTACAGATGATACTGCTGTTTTAGATCCCTGATTTTTGAACCAGATAGAGATTAACAAAGAGTGAGACAGAGATTAGAATACCACCTTTGTTAATAGGATGAGAAACTTACCCAAAGTGGACACTTTTGAGAGTGAAAGGGACACTAACCTAATGGGATACTGGTCCAATATGTATAACCTACGATACATTAAAAATAAAATCAGATCAATTAAAATTGGATTTGTTAAGAGTTTACTGTGCATAAAAGAGCAGTTTGTGAACCCTGGAGTCTTAAAGCCAGGAGTAGAATGAAGCCCAGAGGTGTGTTGTTCCAGGACAGTTTACATAGAAAATTCGTTAAGTGATTTAATTTTAATAATGGTTGATTATAACAAGGGTTTTCCAAGTGATGGATTAAAAGTGATTATTTTATACCATTCTGGAAAACAATTTAAGTTTTATTTATAATTTCTGGAGGCATTTACAAAAAATAATCTAAGTTAAATTTTGTTTGCATTGCAAAATAAGCTAAGTTAGGTTTTGCTTATGTGGCTTGGCTATTTTTTTCTGCGTAAAGAATGTTCAAGTTTGGTCTCCATTTTATTTATTTTAAAAGACATATAGTCACACTATTAATGAAAAAGAAACAGCTGTTGGGGAATGTGGCCTATCTGAACCCTAGAATTAGGTAGATTGGCCCACCTATGAATGGCAGTGATGGAAATCCACAGGCTCCCTTGGGAGATCAGGCATCATTCCCAAAGTGACAGAGAAAATGCACAACACCACTTTTTGCCAGCAGGCCAGCTCCCAAGAGGAAGAGGAAGGAGTTGTCCCAATTTTACCTACCAGATAAGTCACTTCATCTGCCCTAGAGAGGAACGAACTAGGAGCCCAAGGGCATCCGGGTAGCAGAGCTTTTGTCCACACAGAAGCAAACACCAGAAATGAGGGACATGCTCTTCTCTTTTCTACTCAACATTATACACTCAGTACATACTTGTTCAGTTCATTTAAGTTAACTCCCTAAATTATAATTTGTCCTCAGCTCCTCTGAATCTCACCTTACATTTTTGGTAGGGCACTTTTCACATCCCGACTGCTGTAACAGGTAGTTCACACATGTCTGTGAAACAGGGCAGAATAGACGTTTGATTTGGAAGTTAAGAGGGAGAGCGTGTACCTTCTCTACTGGCAGAGGAGAGACGAGGTGAGCTGAAACATCGCTCACGTTATGTGAACTGGTTGGCCCAGTGTTAACTGAGGCCTTTAAAACTACTTTATAACTGACTGTGTGAGTGTGTGTAACAAACACAGTATGTGTCTTTTAATGTGTCTTTTTGTTTGCCAAATTCTTTTGAGGACTTACACATTAAAATCTTGCTTCTATTAAAAGCTAAAAGAATTTGATATTTCTCAAAGTGTTATCAAGAACTTTGATACTCACAAGAATGCTGTCATTGAGGGTCATTCCATTTTAAGCAACTGGTGCTACGTTTTGCCAAGGTGAGATTTCAATCTGTAGTATCTAGGGGAGGTTCAGATGCATCATTTTCCTCTAATTTTGCTTCAGTGTTGAGATATGCAAAAGTATAAACCATCCTGTGAACTCTTGGAACTGAATTACAACTTTAAAAACATTGCAACAGTATTGTCATATTTACAGAAACCATTAATTTCAGATTACTAAAATAATTCTGTTATCCATTAAATGTATAATATACATTTATACATTTCTATTGGATCTATTTTCTAAAGTAAAATTCCTAGATATTTTCTTATGCGATTACAACTATTATAGTAATCTTATCATTTGATATAAGCTAAGTTTTAAGTTTGTACTATATTCAGAAAAAAATGGCTTGTTACTAATACAAATAGGACTATTGGGATGAAATTTTACCTGCTTCACAGTGAAGAACTTTCAGGAGCGTACGCGTCATAGTCTCATTCCTCAGAAGAGCGGTGGGCGGGAAACAGATTTGAGACTCATTCTCTCAGTTCCTAAACTTCCCCCAAACGTTAGTTGTTACTTTGTGTTTATAACCAGCATATTGTTTGCACCAATTCAGTTTAGTCATTCCTAATAATTCTAGCTGTTAAGATTTCATAGAATGTGTGTTGGGAACTAGGAGCAAATGAATAGTTTATTACTTATGTGTAGATAGTTCTTAAATCTTTTTCAACGCTTTCTAAATCCCATAGTTAACTTAAACTATATCTAAGCATTGGCTCATGGTATTTTACCAAACTCTTATTTTTCATAGTATGAAAAAGGGACAGATACTAAGTGTTCTTCATACCACGCCTCCTCACTGTCCTTTTCACTCATACAAAGATTTCCAGATGCACTGGGATGACCTGGTAAGGAACACAGATATATATTATACAGGAAGTTATTTGGTTTTCCTTCTTATAATTTAACCTAAATTTAACTTTCTCACAACAGAATTTCACTTTGTTCTTAATTTTCAGTATGGCTATAAACTTCCAGAGGATTGTGGGAATGTTCAAGTATACTGCAGCATCTACTTCAGAATGATAGCAGGAAGGGTCTTTACATATCCTTTACACCACTCGTCATGGGTACTCTCTGCCCACCTATGACCTGGTCTCTCTCCTGCCCTGGTGTCATTGTTAACCTTCTCTGTGTCTAAAGGAAACTACTTTCCTCTCTACTTCTTTTATCTGCATGAGTATTTTTTATTTTCTTCCCATTTTTACTTGAAGATGACTTTAATAATGATTTCTCCCCTTAAACATTGCTGTAGCAATTTAGACAGCATCGAAACTTTATAGTAGATAGGGAAAGTGTTTACATGCATGATTTCTAGTAGAAAGGAGAAAATAATCATAGCATTCTCCTTAGCCAAGGGCTCCCTCCAGTGGCATTTTGGATATTCTGAGAGGGTAGAATTAGAATTAGTTGTATAACAAATAATTTTATTTTTGGAAGATTGTCTTACAGGCAATATTTAGAGGACTTGACTTGTACTTAATGCAGGCCATTGATTTAAGAAAATACCTTAACATTTTTAAAACCTATCAAGAAAGAGCACAAGTGCTTCAGTGAAACTCTTCAGTCTTAATACTGGTCTTACCATTCCTGTCTCTGTCCCATATTCTGACCAGCCGAGTTTAGAATGGAAGAGAGAAGAGCCATAGTGTTCTTTCTGTATTGTTTCCTAACCCAAATCCTAATATAAAATTAGGGTTGACAGGTATCCACTATTCTCTTTCATTAAATGCCAATTTATTTTGCCAAATCTTCAGAATATTTTTCAACAGAAAAGTAACTGCTTTTTTCAAATAACTGCTTCTGAGTTTGAATGAAATTTGTGTTGTTTCTGTGTACTGAGACTTTACTGCTTTTGGTGATGCAGCCTGTTTATTGTTTACTATAAACACTCTATAAAGGTCATAGCGTCTTTCGTATGCATCATTTGTAGGATGTCTTAGTTTGCCAGCCTGTAAGGAAAGCTGTGTTGTAAGGACCCAGTGAGCTGTCTTGACCATGGGCACTAAAATAGAAGTAATTAATATCCCTGTGAGAAAACATGCTTTTTAGCTTTGGATTATAAATTGGAGTTATTTAGCTTGGAATAAATAAGCAATATATGAAATAGTTAGATTTAGTTGTATGTGCCTTTTTAACAGTTACTAGTTAAGACTTTTTTTATTCCATAGAAATGTCCTATTGCTCTTTAACATTGTTTACATACCCTCTTAGTTGCATCAGAAGTCAGCCCATACAGTTCTTCCCAAGGATAGATTTGGAAGGTGTGTTGAAAAGTTTTCTTTCAGATTTAAAATCTAAACTGCCCCATATATGTGGATTTCCCATAAAGATGACAACAAAATCGTACTACTGCACACAAGACCTGACAAAACCACGAACACAGGTAAGACATTCGTGTCCTACCGAGTTCTCTGAGACATGCTGTGCTCCTGTCTTATGCGGATCTCTTGCCTCCTCTGGTGGACCAACTAATCCTTTGTGATATAATTCTTTTCTCTCGGGTCTCTGTTTCCCTAATACTGTTTACTGTTACTGTACTTAGCCACCTGTCACTAAGGTTTGTTGTTATTGTATTTAACGTGCTGTTAGAGTAGTAGTTGTTCACTGGTCTATTTTTTCTCTTTAGTGTGAACCCCTGGAGGCTAGAGATCTTGGTCATCTCTTTACCCCAAGTGCCTGGTGCATATAGGTGTTCATTAAATGTCTTTTCGGTGATTAAGTGATCTTATAGGATAATTCAGAAACATTTGCCTCATACAAATCCTACTTGGAACTTTTGCCATTTTATCTGATTGATTGAAAAAGCCTGTGTAATCTTATTTATGAAAAAGAAGTAGAATTAAGTAATACTGATAAAGAAAATATGATGGCCTGTTTTCACACTCACTAGAATAAGATTTTTGTTCAAAGAAAACGAAATCAGCCTTGCTAGAGTGGCTCAGTTGGTTGAGCATCACCCTGTGCACCCAAAGGTTGCAGGTTCCCAGCTCAAGTCCCATCAGGGAACATACAGAAGGCAACTGATCTTCACATTAATGTTTCTCTCTCTCTCTCCCTCTCCCTTTCCCCCTCCTTCCCTCCCTCCCCCTTTCCCCCTTCCTCTCTCTAAGCATGTCCTCAGGTGAGGTAAAAAGAAAGAAAACAAAATTAAAGGGAAAATTTTTAAAGAACAAATCTATGAAAGTTTAATTTTAGATTTTCAATGATGCTCTTTCTTTAGAATGACATAGTTATGTGTTTTCATCAAAGGAAAGACAAAAGTTTGATTATCTGATGCCACGTCATACCCCAATTCTCAGAGATTTGCTTTTAGACATTTTGTCTAAGTCAGAATCCAAGCAAGGGCCACATAATTTCATTTGGTGGTTATGTGTCTTAAGTCTCTTTTCTATAACATTCCAGACCCCCTTCCCTTTGTTTATGCCAGTTATTTGCTGGGAACTCTGGATCATTTGCCCTGGAAAATGTCCTGTATTCCAGATTTGACCGATTGCCTCCTTATACCATGTCATGTAAAGTTAACATATTCTTCTCAACCCCGTATTTTCTACAAACCTGGGGTTAGGTCTGACTTTAGCTGAATTCTGGTTCAACTTTAATAAAGAAACACTCAAGTTGTGCAATACAGAGCCAGATTTTAATAGATAAAACACATTTGGTCATTTTGGTCAATCCTCAAGTTTCATTTAATCATTCATTACCTTAATTCTAGGATTCCATTAGATATCCATTCAGATGTACCTAGAGGTTAAAGCTTTTGGTTTCCCTCTAATTTCATGGTAATATACAAAGCTATATAAATTATATGTAAAGTTCTAGAAATTAAAAGTCAACTCAGTCACATTTGCCAGTGACACCTGGCAGAATAGTGGTTATAATGTGGCAAAGCTTATGTTTTTGTTGGGTTTTGGCTTTACAAAGCCTTCGTTTGTTGACCGTTTAAGTATTTTAAGTTCTCTAAATTATTTATGATCTCATCTGCTGTTTACATGGGCCCTTTTTGTAGTCTTTTTATAAATTTTGAATATAGACCTCGAGGGTCCCCCCTCTGGGCTCAATACTGCATTTTAGAAATTGGAAGGAAGAGTAAATAATACACTGACAGGCTAGGGGGCAAAATAAGCTGCTGGAAAGTATTTCCACCAGGCGCATATTTCTGAGACAGGTGAAGATGGAACAGGGTGTGAATATCAGCATATTTCAGATACATGTTCTCGGTAAGTTTTAGGTCAAAACATAAGGAATCTAATGTGGATCTGCCTAGAATGAGGTGGTTTGTCTTTTACTTTTGTTTTTGTTTCGGTATCTCAAGTAATAGGTATGTTGTTTGAAAGTTACTATTGTTTATGAAACCCAGTAGTCCAGAGAAAATGGTTCTTCTTTGATTTTCTATGATTGATTTCAACTTAGTTCTTGAACTCTTTTTTCATCAAATGGAAAAAAATTCAGTCTAGACACTTTAAGATGACTCAGTCATTTCTGATAAAACATCTTTTTGAGTAGCAGTTTATTCAAATTTAACACCTGTTCCTCTCGCCTGGATAGCATCTATGTGCAGGGGAAGCCTCCTGAGGGTGAGGGCTGCGGTGTGTGGTGAAAGGCGTTTGGTGCTTTTGCCTATTAATCTGTCTACATCAGGAGAGTAAATGCCCTCAGCTCTGTTTCTGGACACCTCCAGAACTGGTGGGCAGACACTTGGCTTCTGCTACTAAGAAACCAAAAGTGTTCATGTTAAACTTTTCAGCAGAAGTAGCTTTACCTCTCACCTTCTTTCCAAATATGGTGTGAGTGCATCTGATTGGTTGATCCCAAATCATATCCTGAACCCCAGCTACAAAGGAGATGTTCATTTTCTGTGTCCAGGCTCTAGAAGTCTGGGATGAGTGTTAAAGGCAATCCCATGTCCACCGCACAGTACAACTGCATATAAGGCAGGAGTCAAGAGAAAAAAATATAGAGTGAAGGGGGAAAGATGTTCTGAGCAAGTCAGCAGCCCAAGCAAGTTTGGAGGACAATTGGTAGCTAATTATAGTTGAGAAGTTAGAACATATCTTCATCTTAATATATGATCATGAAAAGCTGATGTCTAAAGAAGGGTACACCATAAGAAATAAACACATTTCCTCAAGAAGATACCTTTGTTTTTTGTTTTTCTTTACTTATTTTATATATTGTGTTACTTTATGTTCTTATTTTGATGATATTTTATATCATTTCTTTTCCATTAAGGACAATATTACATTTTTTAAATTTCTTAATCTGTATTCTTTCAGGAAGACAAAGTCAAGCCACCTAATCTGACTTCTAAACAAATGTTCAGGTCCTCTCTGACCCAGGCGCCTTCCATAGGACCCACCCTGGCTCAACATCCTCTACCACACTCAGTAGCCATGGACCACAAGGTGGAGCTTTGGGTCAGCCAGCAGGAGCCCTGCGTGTCCTCAGCTCCACACCTCCAGCTGGAATCTGCTCAGAGCAGAAAGCAGTCCCTGTGTGACAAGGCACCTCAAGTACATTTGGAAACACCAAAGCCCACCAGAGCACATACTCAAGCTCAAGACACAAACTTTAGCTCCCAAAGTAACATGGCCCCTAAATTCATACCAGTTTTCAAAACTCGATCATTGCAAATGAACAGAAACGTCTTAGAACCTGGCAACCTGAGAAGAAAACAACATGTTACAGAATCTAAGTTGTTTTCACTTGAAACCAGTACAATCCAGAATGACAAACAGAATTTAGATCCAGCTACAAAAAAAAAATCTAATTGTAACATTCAGATGAAACCTAGAAATTTAAACCAGAAGACTTCTGGACCCGTGCAAGAAAAAAAGGCTGAGTCCTGTGAAAGGGTAACAAGATACCCTCCTCACAGAAAATCATCAGCTGTGAATGTGAATGCAAGTAAGCAACTCTCTGATAGTTTAGGATTTCAGGTGTCAGACAGCAGTTTAGGTGGGATAAAAAGTGCCGCCGACTGCCAAGTCAATGGAAAAGAAACTTTAACAAGCAAACATATAGCACAAATTTTAGGGAAAGGACACGAGTCACTAAAAGTGAAAAGACCGCACATTTTTGAATCAGACACAGAAATAGAAGGTGCCCAGCTACTCCAGGAGCAGTCAGTCAGTCAAACTGAAGAAGTTGATGTCACTGACCACAGACTGATAGCAGGCAGAACAGCCCACAGGCCTAAGAGAAAACTATGTCAGGAATCTTCAAAACCTGCGAAGCAGCCTCGTTCCAGTAATGTCCACTACGGACAATCCACTTCTTCTATGAGCCAGGTAAGAAAACAGTTTTCATCTGGGGATATTTTTCACACTTTTTTCACCTTTAATCCCTAAAGAAAGAATTAAGGGATTTTCCCAAGATCACATTAAGAAACATTAAAATGTGCCCTCACACAACTGCAAGTATATACAATTAACTTAATTAAAAATGTGATTTCTTAATCTGATTACAGATGTGTGACTTGGACAAATCAAAACCTAAGAAATCTCTCCTCATCCCTCCAGCTTCCAACGTGGATGTGAAAGCTGGAAATGCCCATCAGGTAACTTAGGCGACGTCTTTTGATTTATTTTTTCTTTACGTTATCTGAATTGGGATTGCCAAGGTTAGAGATCTCCAATCTCTTGATATGGAGGAGTTACTTTAAATTCCTTGAAGCCTTAAAATCAGCAAGGAAATAGGAAATGTTGAGAACAATACAGCATCTGTTACATAAGCAAAGACCCAGAAGAGGGAGGAGGTGGAGAGAGGTCCCATTGCTGTCTCCTCCCACTCTGTGCTGGGGTCACTGCAGACAAAGAGCTTCCAGGGCACAGCAGCAAGCAGGTTGCCCAAAGATACCAGTCCACAACCACTAAAACACGAATCTTTGGGGACTCTTACCTAAGATGATTAACCTTAAGTGATGTTTCAAAGTTTAATCACTAAGTTAAAATTTACTCCAAAAATGTTGTAGTGCTGGCTAAAGGTAAGCTTAAGACTTAGCTGATAATGCTGAGTCCACGGCGCTGAATTTACAAAACCCTGCATCTGGAAATTAAATTTTATTCCATCCTGCCATCTGTTCTGTTCTAAGAACAAACATTGCTAAAACACACACAAACACTTTTTTGCATAGAACTATTGGAATACTTTCAATTCAAATTCTTTATGAGCAAACTGGAAAACATTTTCTTCTCTTTTTTTCCAAATGCTATTTATCTTTATAATTAATAGGAATTTCAGCCTGATTTGAGTCAACCAAAAGGTACTTAAATCTATTCCTATGTATGTAATCATGTGTGTTTAATGTAGTGTTTGATATCTTATGTGTTAATGCACTTAGTAGGTCAGTAAGGAAAAGCTATGTGTTATCATGCCTTCATATTTTTCTTTTTTTAAAAACTTTTTAAAAATGCATCTTTATTGTTTTCAGAGAGAGGAAGGGAGAGGGAGAGAGAGGTAGAAACATCAATAATGAGTGAGTCATCGTTGATTCGATGCCCCCTGCATGCCCCCTGCATGCCCCCTGCATGCCCCCTGACNAGGGAGAGAGAGGTAGAAACATCAATAATGAGTGAGTCATCGTTGATTCGCTGCCCCCTGCATGCCCCCTGCATGCCCCCTGACGGGATGGAGCCTGCAACCTGGGCATGTGCCCTGACCAGGAATCGAACCTCAGTCTCCTGGATCCTACGTTGATGCTCAGCCGCTGAGCCACGCCCAGCTGGGCAAAATTGTTCATTTTAAAATAAGTGAAATCTATTCCAGACTTCGTAAGTTTTAGAAGTGTATAATTTTCCCACTTTGAATTACTTAAGACCTAAAACAGTTTTTTAAAATACAAAGTCATTCCCATCACCTAGAAAGAAAATGAGAAAATTATAGGATATCATTATGGAAACTAATTTCCCTCAAATGTAAAATTAATATATGCCTTTATAAGAAATTTGAGAAGTATAAAATAATTTCAAGAAAAAATTTTGTAATTCCTCTTTGCAGAGATAACCATTCTGGACCCTCACGCATTCCTGTGAGCATGGACTGTGAATGGGACTTTCCCCGTGACAGTGTCACGTTTCATGGTTGCATACAAGGTTCATTGCATGTAGACATACTTAACAGTCCCCGCTGATTGACACTTACGGTCTTCCTGACTTTTCACTATGATAACAGTGTCATGGGAATGAATAGTCTTGTTACCGATGTTTGCAAAATATCCATTTATGTGACTAGTTTTGTTAGTTGAAAATATCTTTATTTTGTCATTATTATTGAAATTTATTTACATTCATTATTTTTATTATTGAAATTTGCAAACCACACAAAGTACAGATAATAGCATAAAGAACCTCTAAGTACCTATCATCCAGCTTCAACCATTGTTAATATTTTGCCCCTGTTCCCTCTGTTCCTCACAGACACACTTCTTTACTACCTAAAGTACATTCAGGATAGCATATCATTTCACCCATAAATGCTTTAGTGTGTATAAGTGTGTACATACACGTGTACCTGTACACACACTTAAGGGATAGCATTTTTTTAATATACATTTTGGGGTGGCTGCCATGTCTTTATTGACTCACTGAATTTCACTTTAGTTTAACATGAACAGGAAGCCCTTAATAAACATAGAACCTATTTCACAGGAGAACTAGAGCCTTTGGCACATATCTAACTATTGGGGTGGAGGTGTCTTTGTTCGTCACGTCCACAGCTGGTCCTGTGTGCCAGGCAGGGGGGCAGGTTGCTGAAGTAACAGCACCATGCACCATTGGCCGCAGTCTGCTCTCAAGAAACCCCTCCAGGTCCGGGCTGAGACGTGGGAGCATGCTTGATTTGAAGCAAATGTCAAGAATGACCTTGCGGTCTATAGTACAGATAAATGTATCTAATGTGTAAGAAGAGGCAGAACTAGCTGCTCACTGGTATTATTCTGGCTTTCAAACGTTTTAGGTGTTTAATATACAAAATGTTATGTAATTATGGTAAAATATTTTTTTTAAATTCTCAATATTCCACTGAAGTAATCCTTCATTAAATTTTTTAAAAATATCAAAGAGCCAAGTATAAGTGGAATTTTGATTTCTTAGTGTGATTGACTTTTTGCTGTTTCACTAAGCCATTGCAATTAAATGCAAACAGGAACATGAACTCTACTGCTAAATCGTAATTTCATTCTTCCTCTTGAAATTGTGCCTGGTTAACTGGTGCACTATATACCTTTACTGTAAACTTTCTGTTTTCCAGGTTTATCTCTATTTTACAGTTATATTTTACCACTTTCATAGGGAAACGTATCTAGGGTAAAGCCTGTTTTTCATGTGTCTTTCTCATCCTGAAGATGGTGTGATGGAGAATTAGTGGACTGCAGTCAAGAACGAGCTGTCATTTTGTTTCTGAGGCTGTGGTGAGAACATATTTTACTGAAGTGAGGTTGATAAGCACGTTGATAAGACTGGGTCACTCAGTTGGCCACAGCATGCACTCAGTCTTGAAATAAGTCTTCCCCTGCTCTGTGTGTCCTAGGTGCCCTCCTTCAGCTGTCCAGTCAACGTGCCGTAGGTAATAGACACACATGGTTTGTACACTGAGCAGAATAATTAAAAGATAAACCCACTGCCTAATTAGTGTGTAGTATCTTCCAATTTTTTATATAAATAACCTTGATAGCTCCTCCTCCACTCCATCAGTGTCTAAAACTTAGAATTTATAATGTAGTATTTCATTTAGACAAATGTCAACCCAAATGGCAAAGCCTGCTTGATTTAGGATCTGTCTGTTTCCTAGTGTAGAGGTAGGTTTATTTTTTTATCTTACAATACATGTCCTAATGAAAGTTTACCCCCCAAATTTATATGTATGTATATATACATGTATATGTGTGATTTACTGTAGAGATGCATGGACAGATTGATTATTTACTGTCCTCGTTCAGAGAAAAGGCTCTAGACCAAATTGCTCTGCTAGGATTCACTGGAGAAATCAAGGAAGATTTTGGTTCATTTCAAAGATTATAAACTTAAAAGCCAGAATAATTCCAGGTCTAAATAACAAAAGGAGAACCACATTGCACTTATTCAAATTTTGGTGATTCATATGCATGTGGACCCCCTGCCTTGCCCCCAGTCACTTGTCACATTCCAGTCGTATGTTAGTTTCATAATCATTATAATCTTAAAAGCATAAATTAGTTTTTTGTTGTCAAGAATCTTAGATCAGCCATTGTATTTAAACTATGACCGTCTGCCAAAATTAATGCTAAGAATTCATCTTTATAGAAATGTGAAAGTACTTTACATATACTATTCATAGTTTAACTTCATAGTGCTTGTTACTTTCTACATTTGTATTTGTTTTCACTTAAGTTTTATAATCTATTATACATTATTATATATTATTTTACTTGTGTTTGTTGCTTACTGTAACAAATAGGTAGAAATACAGGTGTGTTGATGATTAGCTTTTGTTTTACTGACCAGTTCACTAACCAGATGTTGCTCTTTTTCAAATTGCTCATCACCTGGTACTGCACTGGGTACTTACTGATACTTAAGAATGGTCAGTATTTACAAATGTTTAAAAATGTCATGGTTATTTCTTATTGATGCTTAAATTGTGTTGTATCCTACATAGTGTCTTATTTTAAATAAAAAATGAAGGTATTTCAAACAGAATCTTTTTCATGTCACAGTGACTGAATAGGCATGTGTGACACAAAGGCAGGATCTACAAGGCATGTTCACACGGTCATCTTCGTGGGCACCAGTTGTCTCCATATCCACACAACTTCACAACCCTCTCTTTGAATTAGGAGTTCTTGAGCCTTGTCTCCTTTTCCTCTCTCACATAAACACGCTCCCTTAGGACCATCCCTCATTTCACTCAGAACCTCATGGTAGAGAGTGAAGGTTTGGGGTGGTGTGTGCAGCTCATATATTTGAACAGGCCCTTCAAGAACCAAGGTGTGTTTGTTTGATAAAGAACTGTTTTTGTTGTAGGACTCTAAAGTTGCTTAGTGAAATAAATTGCCAGGATTAATAGAAAAAAGAACCAAGATGTGTTGGCGGGGAATTCCTCCCGCTTCTCCTCTGAGCCCTTGAGCATCACTTGGTTGGTCTGCACCAGTGCCAGCCGGAGCTCTTCCCAGTTTACACAGAGAACTATCTAAGAACCCAGTTAAGTTCTCTGTTATCAACAGAAAGGCTTGTCCTCAGAGATCATGGTCAAGGCTTTCAGAGTCTGTATGGTGTCAGTGTATGTCCCCTGCTCACTGTACCCAGGCTTTGCAGTTACTTTATAGGTGGTAAAGCCACAGGGCTGGCAGACCCTTCATGCCCCCTTGCAGCCCATGTGACGTCCCACCTCATGGACTCTAGTGAGCTTGCTGCAGCACACAGTATAACTCGGTGTTAACGATTATGACCTAGACTTCTATGGCATAGCTATAAAACAGAGAACTTTTATATGGTATAAAATTGAGTGAGCTCTGTGTTTCCCAGAGCAATAAATTCAACCTGCCTTTTCCCCCGCCAAGAACTAGTTTTAGTACTTTGTAAACTAGCTTAAGCCACACTATATGGGGCAGCTGAGATGAAACAAAGGAAAGTATTTTTAGTCATATTTCTCTTTAACCAGATTTACCGCATTTCATTACTTTGCCGCCTACTATTGCTCTGTGGTCCCGAAGGAAATAACTAGATGAAACTGAGAGTAAAAACAACATAAAGTGGGATATTCAATACCCCAAGTTGCATATAGCCGATCAGGTCACGCAATGATTGAATCTAGCTCCGGTTAACCTGATTTCAAGTGCTGTGCAGTTCTGGGGGCCATGAGGAACAGAATGCTGGTTCTACATTATCAGGGAATATTTATATTGAAACATGGTTTCAAGTTTCCATGCCACGTAGGAACATTAACACGTAACAGGCAGATCACCGAATATTGTGTTTGAGCTACCAATTGGACAAAGACTCTCTGGCCAAGGAGAGCATGAGCGGGGCGTGTCTCTCTGCTCCCTCCCCACACTCTGTGCTACCTGTAGCATCTCTGCCTGCTGTGCTCTGTCAGAAAAGGGCACACAGCTCCGTCTGGAGGTTGGGAACCACAACACTTATGACAGGCAGCTCCATTTAGATCTCATCTCCCCAGACTTTTCAACTTTGAAAGAATTGTCTCATTGGAAAGAGGCCCCAAAGCAAAGAGCGTCTGTGTATGTCAGAAGAAAGAATTTTCAGACATTTAGAGTTGATTATGTAGCAAGGCTGTGTAATTTCTTCCTGGGGAAAGGGAGGGTAGAATTTCCAAATCGAATCGGTCCATTTTGCCTGGACTGGTTTTAATTAACCAGTCATTCTGCTGGAAAGTGTAGAGATAGACCAGATGTCCTCTCAAGCCACCTTCTGACCTGCCTGCTCTTTACTGAGCAGCAGAAAGAGGTTTCAGCCAACAGTCCAGTGACCCCACCTAACAGTGAGGAAGCCGAGGTACATGGAGAGAAGGCAGTTCATGTATTGTGAAGAAAAAATAACTCTTGCCTTATTGCCCCATTTGCTCTTAACCTTTTTGTGAAAAATACCATGAATTCAAGAGTTTATCAAATATATATGTGCAGTGTAAAGAATAAAAATGAAACGAAGACTGTGCTTTTTCTTTTTTTTAATGATTTTTCAAGTAAATAAAACATGTCTGTGTTCTGTGTACTAAAACATATGGAAGGAGATGCATCAGAACATTACCATAGTTACTCTCTGTATCATTTTGGGTGGTTTTTTTCTTTTATATACCCTTTATATATATATATATATATATAGTATATCTTGATTTCAGAGAGAGAAACATCAATGATGAGAGAGTAATTGATCGGCTGCCTCCTGCATGCCCCCCGCTGGGGATCGAGCCCACAGCCTGGGCATGTGCCCTGACTGGGAATCAAACCGTGATCTCCTGGATCCTCAGTCGCTGAGCCACGCCTGCCCGGGCTATATACTCTTTTTAAATGTCTAAATTGCCCATATTAAACATGAATTATTTGTATTATCAGGAAAACAGCAATTTGTGTTATTTTTTTAAATAGATGGAGCACAACACAGCATTATATCTCTTTCAACGAGGCAGCCATTTCCTCTTAATATATGCAAAAATGTCACAGGAGTGTTACTGTTTCGAAAAACACTTTGGTTTCCCTTTTTTATTCTTACCTGTTTCATCTTCATGACATTCGGCATGTTTCACTCGGACATGTGC